ATATTCAGAAGTATATAATCGTCACATTTTCTACCAATACAACGCAAGCTGCTACGGAAAATTCCTAAAACATATTCTCTAAACCTTGTAATCTTATAGTATACTTTAGTCACAACAGTATTCATTAACAACAAAATATGTAAACTGACAAATCATTTTCCCAAGGGGCGTTAAAGTATTGCGGAGAATAAAGCAGATGTTACATCTCCCACAGCTCGTAATTACAAAGCCATATCGACTGTTGACGATGTATCAAAACAGTAATGATGACGTCAGCAACCATTGCCAATGGTATATAAGTAAAATAAAATATATATACTTGATTCAATATTATAGAGCGCTTACGTTTGAATGAATTATGAAAAGTTACCTCATGAAGTTATTAAAGGATTTCATAACTTAATGAGAAGGATGTAAGAGATCGCAAACACAAAACAATGAAGGTCGTAAATCACAGCTTCCTTCAAGTAATAGTTGCATCCTACAGTCTCTGCGGCAATCCGGCGCACTATCTAAATTGATGGCTTCCGGTGTACATTAGAGAATTGAATCTATCGCACAGATGTCTACGCGACACACTTCATTTGGAGCTGCGCGTGCGCCCATAGAAAGTAACGGGTGCGTATCGCCAATATGCATACTAGTGTGATATTTGTTTTTGATCTTAAAGCATAATTACTCAAAGAGTAAAATGTTCATACAATTTCGCTAAACATGAGCAGAATTATTGAATTAAATCGGCTACAGCATTTGAGTTCCCGTATAAATAAATTTTTAAAAATTGTGACATAAAAACATTGACATCGTTAATATCATTAATGGTTAAACTTGTTCAAAACCTACCGTTAATGTCTAAATTTACTACAAAAGTCGGAATTAATTAAACTTCGTATACTCGTTATAGGCCACACAAAACATAGTATCAAGTTGCATTCATTAAACAAAACCGAGGAAGATGCATCGCCTGAAATGCGCCAGAGTGACGACGCCTAGACACGACAGTCATCCACTAATGACCTTTTTACACTACCCACATCGTCGCTTCATCAATTCTCTACACATTTTTCATCCTAAAAGGACGATGACCCTACAACGCCCAAACGGAACAATTATTCAGCAATAACTATGTAAATTGTGTTAGTCATAAGAAAAAGGTTAATGAAATCGAATCTAGCTTAGCACCAAGGCGACAGTGACTCAGCATCAGGAGTCGGTAGATTTGTTGCCGATTGCGTCACCTTGATATTAGCCTCAGATTCATATTATTTTTTGCTCAAAACAATACATAGATGGACAGGACAAAGAGACAGGACGGTGATGGATAGATCTCAACAATAGAGTATAATAATTTCGAAAAGTTTGTGATTTTTACTTGTTGGGCCAAGAAATTTGTAATCTATGTTAGAACAATATATTTATTTATAATAGGTATTATCACGCCTTTTCCCCAAAAGATAGGCGAGACCACGGATCTCCACTGGCTACGGTGCTGGCATACCTCTCTTGCTTCATCCACTTTCATGACATTAAATTCATTCATTCAATAAAATAGCATTCCATATGATAAAGAAACCAAATATAAAATCTTCAGTAATTTAAAAGAACAAAAGCACATACTTAAAAAGTTCATGGGTCACAAAATGTCGGTTACGTACATTTAAGAATCTGTACTTTACACCGTACACGTCAATAGAACCTTAAAGTACACTGTTTAGAAGGGTAACTAATCAGAGCGATTGAGAAATTAGTTAGAAGTCTAAATAAATTAATTCCTCGTGTAAATTTAAATATCAAAGTTTTCTTTATCGTATTATTCATATGATTGGTCATGGAGAAACTATAATTTAAATTCTTCTTAGCCAGCTAGAGGCACAAATAGTTCCGTACTGGGGGCGGTACTGTATTGCACGGTTTATGCTAATACATTGTCGGCACAATTGACCACCCTTAAGCATATTCGTTCCACCCAACAAAATGAATTCATGAACAAAACACGACTACATACATATTTTCTTATGACCTAACCGTAAATTATTAAATAATAACAATAAACATGCGAATAAAATCACTTGTTGCAATAACGAACACAACTTTTGACGTCATGAAAAATAAGTATTGTGTTCGGAAGGATTGTATTACGACACTTAGAACAATGTTAGGCCTATTAAAGGACGTTGTTCATTATTATTGCGCTCTCTAAGCGGAATGTAGACAATGATATATTTCGATTGCTCAAAAGATTAATCGAGAACGTTGCATCGGCTAAAATAAACAGAAGATTCTAAGCTTCAAATGCTTGAAAGAAACAGAGGTGACGAATGTGATTTATAAATGGGAGTTCGTAAACGTTCCATAAATGTTAGGAGAAATTAAACTTCACAAATCTTCTTCTAGAGAATACAAATATAGCTATCTCTTGTATGGGCTGGAGATCATTGCGATTTCGCCCCGGCCTAGAGCTACGACATTCCACTTCTTAGTAGATTGAGTCGTCCTAAGCCTACGAGATTTACAGCGGTAATAGCGAGCGCTCTTCCGCCGAGCTGATAAATAGCCTATTTAATTATATTTACGCAGCGCCGGTCGAAGCTCGATAAATCCTCCAAGAATGCTAGAATAACGCAGTCGTTTACGGCCAATACGTAACGGCCATAAGATCAATCACCGGCGACGTACGTATTAGTTGAAATTAGGGGAGGGATAAATTGTTTCGAAGTTTCAGTAGCTATTTTTGTTTACAGATTCATCAGAGGGTGTTCACATTGGGGAGCTATAAACAGCGATATGTAAACATTGTGGATGCGTGTGCCATACGATGTCCTAGGTCCTACAGCGCTCCGGATGTGTACAATTAGACTGTTTGTTACGATGTCACTGAACCCGCAGCAAGGTTAGGAAAGGGAGTGTAAACAATCTAGACGGCGAACCACATCCATCAAGTGTGCAAACAATGAAATCGAGACGTCAATATTACCTCGCCCGCTCGCTCCATCATACAATACTCAAGTTAATTCGCAATGTGAGATAACGCAGCTGTGTGATATAGGCGCCAACCGATTAGTGCTTTCGTTTCCATATTATGTTTAAAAGATGGTTACACTTTACAGCTCTTTTTTCAACTCAATAGGTAAGTATGAACGTTTTACGTTCATTAATCATATTTTATTTGAATTCACTATTGTTTACTTATTGCAATGGAGCAGTGTTGACCTAGTGGCTTCAGCGTGCGACTCTCATCGCTGAGGTCGTAGGTTCGATCCCCGGCTGTGCACCAATGGACTTTCTTTCAATGTGCGCATTTAACATTCGCTCGAACGGTGAAGGAAAACATCGTGAGGAAACCGACATGTCTCAGACCGAAAAAGTCGACGGCGTGTGTCAGGCTCTGGAGGCTGATCAACTACTTGCCTATTAGATTTAAAAAGATCATGAAACAGATTCAGAAATCTGAGGTCCAAATCTAAAGAGGTTGTAGCGCCACTGATTTATGTATTTATTTTTATTGTTTACTTAATCTTACAGCTTGATTACGGTTGGAATTCTTCGAATTCGGGAGGGCCTGGGTCAGTGTTACATCATTTATGATATTTTCATAACACTGTGATTCATACCCCAAACGATTCGACATTCCATTTTTATTCTGGGTCAACAGTATCCTTATCCAATTTACTGGCGTAATCTCGTTAAAGAACACTCACTATGAGTTATGACATCTGCAGTATCTAGAGGTGAGCAGCGACGGTAACTTTTTTTTAAATACCAACTTTAGATAAAGTTATATTCACGCGCCTAACGTGATTATATCGAATGATATATTTCTTCACCGAGACTTCTAAATCCTAAGAAATTCCATCCGATTACTACCAGCGCAGACAATTTACAATTTTGATCCTATGATAACAAGGATCATAAATAAATGACACGTCCATATCTGCTGAATGTAATCGGAAACGTGAGATCGGCGGTCGAGTCCACTCAGTGACACATTTATTTGTACTCAACGTTGACATATCTTTATCACGGCTTCTTCTTATTTGAGACGCAATCTCAGGTGTTTTAGCCCTGAAGTACTTGCTGCTGCCTATATCGAGGCGCCGAAGGTCGACTAGACTTTCGCTGTGCAACCAACATAATATATTACGCGAGTAGCCCAACCCGTGTCAGAAAATCTAGTCGCCTACGCGAACGCGACACGAATATGCAATGCCGGCGTCTTTCCTATTATCATAAAGGTAATCGAAACTCATTATGGTAGCCATCTTGACATTGGCTCGTTTGATACGTTCAGTTTGGTAACAATACCAGAGGCACGCATTCCATCAATGAGAAACGATTGTTCTCATTCGGCAAATCACCCACGTATCTTTGTAGCGCTGGTTGCACAATTCGGTCGCGTAACCGCGTTTTAGAGCAGGTGAACATTTGCACACCGGGCGGCCTTGGATAGGGAACCCCTGATCATTCCAGGACTTACTTCACGCGTAATCAACAGAGCGTTACACTTAACCGGCGTTAAAGTACATATTACGCATAACGACAGGAAGTTAAAAATAAGTTAAATATGTGAGATAAAAACTTGGCCTCTAATTAGAACGGCTGTAAAAAGTTCTTCTTCGGTTTTGTAGATAAAACGTCTACGAACGGCGGGCGAACGGACGCGGCGACCTCGCACACACCGCTCCATACAGATCGAGTTTCTTTCCGCAAAGTCGAGATAACTGCAGATCGAGAATCTGTTCTCGCGCTCGTTGACTTTGAAACACAGCTTACCTTATTCTGTCCTCTTTTAGCCGTCATTCAAATAGGAAAAGGGAGGTCGGATATAGTACCTAAATTGACGTGGAAGTTTCCTCAAGCCACCGGTGTTAGTCATCTCAGCGAGGTTTTAAATTAACCTGCGGCACAACTAAAAGCAGCGTTCTAATAATCGACATTATCTAAAATAGCCGGGTGACTAACGAAACCGAAAGTGATGTGTGATGCAACGGTCCCGAATTTAGTTAGAGCGGGCCAAAGCGGTGCATCGGCCGCAAGGGAACGCCGCGGCCGGGGCGGGCGCCAGCTGCCAAACCCCTGGCATTTCGCGCTAATGACACGAATAAGATATTAGCGCGGATAGTCTCTGAGGAATCTGAACCAAATATTCGGGGCGCGTGTCTAACTAAATCCACTATAATTCTACGGCAAAAATTTCTTTGATCTATAAAAATCCTTATTCGAACATTGCATCGAACTCACAACGAAAATAACATAATAATAAAAATTATATGACACAAGAATGAGTCAACTACAGTCCCTCAAGTCATAAAAAAACAATATTACGGTAGCAATATAGGGCTCTAAAGCAAAGTTGACTCAAAGTATAATTTATACTCATTCCATCACTCCATGAAAGTGAAACTTGATCGAGTGTAGAAAGCCACAGATTACTCGAGCACAAAATCTGCTCCCGTGTGCCTCGAGCAACGCGAAATTACCAATAAACGATCCCTTCCGAAGGCGGAGAATCTAACGATGAAATGAATTTCACTTTAACAGTTGCCTATAGCTTCAGATTTACGGCAGAAAATTTCGTGAAGGCAATTTAGACGTTTTCAATTAAATTTTATGTCATACGCACCAATACGGCACTAGGTTTGAGATTCGTGATTAATCTAAGATAAAAACGCTGATAAAGATAAAATATTTTACGACACGGCTGAATTAATCGTTTTGTTATGCTGTAGTTTAGTTACAAAGGAGAGCAATATCAAATGTATTATTTTATCTAATCAAAACACCGCTAGCAATAAAATGAAGAGAGATAATGAACGACACAAGAACAATGACTTATTAAAGTTCCGTAAATGCTTCACAGTACGAGACAATTATGAACTTGACACAAAATCAAAGTTGTTGTAACAAATTGTACATTTCGCACCTTAAGAATGACATCAGCTGAGGCTCAATAACAATATTTAAACTTCTCATTATATACTAACTAAAACAACGACAAAATACTCTTCGATTATGAATTATTAATTTTCATTGCTGGAGCATAATATTGTATCGTAACCTTTATACTATATACGGTTTTTCTATTTGATAAACTGCCTTAGTTTGCCTTTCGCTTATAGCGATATTAAATAATGTGAAAACAATTGAATAATGTAATGGAAAATAACGATAGCTGTTACCAATTAATAATATCATGTTAATATGTGATAATTCAAATATTATTGTGCTAGTTAAAGACGTAGTAAATACACGCCTAATTAAATATTATCCCATTGCTCCACAAACGTGTCAATGCTTTTACAAATAATATTGATGTACATAGGAAATTCTCTAGATAAATAATTAATTATAATTTAATACAAACAAGTAGATATTTTTTAATTTAATTTAAATGTAAATCTCTAGAGTGTACTCTCCTATTCTTCTATACTTTGATTAATTTTTAACTATCTTTCTCTAATCGTCAGCTCATGTCTGAGCGTAGTGGTCATCAAGGAAGAATCTCGAGCGGACTATCTGTTTCCACCGGTTTCTGTCCAGCTGCTCTTATGACAGTGTACAGCTTTAAGGACGATGAGTGTTTCACTTGATCGAACCATCTGGTTGGTGAACGCCCACGTGATCCTTTGCCTTCTGTGTAATTTTTAACACACTACGTGTAATCCTTAAGTTCGATTTCTGTTGTAACAATAATTCGAAAGACAGTAAGCTAATTCTGTGTTCTCACTGGTTACCGCTAAGTAAAATTTTAGCAGTTGAGTTATTTATTTGTTTATAAAAACACTCTTGCTCTAACAGGCAACCCTAAATTGACAAGAGTGCACAATAAGTAAATAAAATTTACAGACAAAACAAAAGAAAACAATCACATAATTACAATTAAAACACAGTTACATTATAAAAATTCAATAAATTAACTAACTACTAAAGACACTAACAAATAATAGAACTTTTGACAGTTCACTCAACGGACAATGAAAAATATCAGTTAACCTATGCAATTCGTTAACTAAATTAATACACCGAATCATATGTGCTCTACATATGTTAATTCGCAAACAATAGAATAATAATAATAATCTCTGAATAACAACATGTTGCAGACTAATCTAAAAACCATATTAGACAAACAATGAAAAACCAATGTTTCAAACATCGTTTACGAAGCGACGACAGAACCCTTACGAATGCTAGCCTGATTTTGATAACGAGCCCAAAACGGGTTAATTGTTTAGGAGTAATACTGACCCCGATACGATCTCGGCCTATTTATTGTCTAAACATTTCGTTTCCAGTAATACTCGCAAAATTATATTGCAAATAATGTACGCCGTAAAGTTTTCATCACATAAAAACTAACGTCCTGTCCCGGCTTCGCATGTATGAATATAATATATATATCTTTATATATAAAAGAAAAATGGTCTTCGTTTGAGGCTCCTTCACGCCTAAACCACTAAGCGTATCGACATGAAACTACCACCATTCGATGCGAAATTTTCCAGATGGTTTATGGCTATTTATTTATTAAATTCCAACGTTCCTTCATTTTTTTATTGCTGTTTTACTTTTATGAAAATTTATCCATACGGACTTCACCGCGGAAACATTCGGGGAGGCTTCCTAGAACCTCTAAACGTCAACATCTGTTAAAAACTCGATTTTCGAAATATTTCAATTTTCTTAGCGGGAAGTTAAAAAGAAGAATAATAAAAATATGAAAAAAAATAAAATAATGAAACATAAAATTTATTTTAATTCGTCCAGCAAAGCGGGCGCGAAACGGCTAGTTAGTATATATATGACAATTAATTCGTTGAAAGTATACAAATATTTTCTCCTTCAATAATATTAGTCAATACTAGATTGAAACGCTTTTAATTATGGCTATCATTGAATTTGCATTTAAATTTATTTTTATAAATTTAATACGTAGGTTGCACCGAATAGCAATAACAGCTATTCGGTTTTCTTTTAATGTCCACTTCATCGTGAAAAATTACGGAAAGTAATTGTTTTTTGTTTTAAAACAATAGTCAAACATTCAAAAATAGAATGCAATATTTTTTTTTATAAAATCATGTTCGAAATTTAAAAATAATGTGCCAGTGACAGAATTTTGGGACCGACTACGTAGTAGTTATGGAATTTACTGTAAGTGCAGACACATTAAATTGATAACCCCCTTTGATTGGATTTATTTAACTCCATAAAAAGAAATAGGTATATTAAAAAAACGCAAGAGCAATTCACTACTAGTTGCAATTTTTTCCAATTTCCAAGGAAATAGTATGAAGCAGTTTGTATTATTTATTTCACAATCTGATTTGTGGTTTTAAGAATTGCGTTTTAAGCATTACTGTCCACCGCACCACGTATTAGTTTCATAAGGGTTATTTATTAAATAAAACTATTGTTTATTCCACGCTACGTTTTCGTGTGTAAATTACTTTAAAATTAGATCATACTTTGATAATTAAATTTGTGAATTCAACGAATTGGGAAAAAGTGATAATTAAATTATAGTGATGATTACATAGCATTTTTATGCGCTACAGTGTTATTTCTTTATATTCTACCATGCTTATTTTTATTGATATTTTAATCTAGACCGTCTTATCTAGGTAAGTACATTCACATAACCAATGTCAATGCCATAACGCTAGCAAAACGTTTGCGAACATTATTGTATGGATAAAAACCAATGAGTCATTTCTTGAAAGGTCGAAAACAAAACATGGTGCGTTGATTGACGACAAGTGGCTATGTATAGTGTTAAGACTTGTTCTATTACATGTGCCGTTATTGCCCTCGCTTGATCTAATACATTCTTTTTACCTTAAGATATCTCCGATATTGGTCTTGTATATCACAACGATATGATAAAATTTTAGCCATCCATTTCCACGGTGTCGCTTACCATCTGATATTTTATTAAGATAAAATCCATCAAAAGATTCCCAATCTTTAGAATATCTTACCTTCTGGTAAATTACTTTTGTACTCAACAAGTATACAATGAATTTAAAATAAGGCAAATAATTTATCTATAAGATATGTTATCAGTTATCAGTATTATACGTAAAGCCAGAAGGTACATAGAAAAAACACAGATAATGTGTTACACTGAAACACAATATGTATAGTAATATAATATTGTGTTTCAGTGTAACACATTATAATTAAAGTCTGGTTTGATTTGGCCCTTAAAAAAAGGCAGTGATGATCAGCTAACAGTCTTACATCTTAGAGAATTTCATGAATCTTTTTTATAAATTAATGGGAAATTGGTTTCGATAGTACATTAGTACTGTAAAATTATCATAGATTTGTAAGCACTAAAACTATAAACCCGTATTAGAAACCGTGTATCATTGTTTCGTGTCGGATAGATTTACAATCGATTATATTCGATACTATAATCAAATAACAACTTCATTTCATGATTTATCACTTGCAAGTTTTCACTGTTGTTTCCTATACTCTCACAAATAAGGTCAAAGTGTGTATATAATAAGTAATATCAAAATGTTAGAGTTTCTACTCTTATTTAAAAAAAACAAAAGACAACTACTTAATGCTATTTTCGAAAATTAAAAGCAAACCTAAATTAAACAAGCACCGACAAAATTAAAAAATCCCCGCAAATTTTAAACCTAATTTATTTAAACGTTAAGGGTAGTTTGTTATTATTATTTGCTATGAATTTGAGCATGCTAAGCATAATATTTGGCATTCTACGTTTTGTTAGGCGGCTGTTTTGGCTGTAATGCAAACTTAAAAATACTATTAAGATGCAGGAGGGTCAAGCAATAATACCTTATCTAATGGATTGTAGCCAATTTATGTTAATGTTAGGTATTAATGAATGCTAAAACGTTTACTTTCGAAATCATTTATGATTGGCTGGCTATAATATTATAATTTCATTCAAGGTGTTCTACCGTTTGGTATCACCACACTTTTCTTTTAAATGTGCAGTACTTAATGTGCAATCAACAAACAGCATAACATACATTTTGATATTTAAACTTTTGATTGAGTATGGAATGTTTGTTTTGTTTTTATGTACAAAGTAATATGAGAGTGAATAAGACTAAACATTCAGTGGCTATTTGAGTTTTATGAATTAATATTTCTGAGAGATTACACCAAGTACGTTCGTAGTAAATTCACGGGGTTAATGTATGCCTGCTAGTGACCGCACGGTTGCGTCCAACGAGGGGAAAAGTTGTCGAGCTTGTCCATGTTACTTTACTATAGCTTAATGTTGCTTTCATATTTTAGATGCAAGAGGTTAATTTGAATTATTTAATAAACTTAATATGCACCTAGCAGGCAAGACAAAAAAGGCGTAATCTATAAAATAAAGTAGATAGTCTATTTTAATAATTAAAGAAATAATTAATTATAATTGAAAAAAACAAAATGAAGAAAGCAATAAAGCTAAATTTATGTTATTACGATTGAAAAGAGAATATAAATCAAATTAATTTTGAATGTTTTTATTTAAATCAAAAACTTATAAGTTTAATGCTGATAAAATACTTTAAACTAATTAAACATTGTAATGGACAATATTTTGTATTTGTTAAGAGAAACCATTAATGGATGCAAAAACAATTTGAAAAGAACTTTGCAACAACATACCAAATATTTTATTATATTGAACATGTATGATAACAGTAGGGCTACGCCATGATATAGAACTTCAGCGATTAAAAGATTATAGAGTGAGATACAGTAAATGTTGTATGTGTGTACAACATCTTCTCAAAAAAATGTGTAAAGCGAGTAAGAGCTGCATGATGGTAATATATTCAATACTAATGAATTCTAAGATGTATGGAACGTTTTACATGTATCAACACAAATTTTACAACTGTTGTAATAGTGCAAAATTTGTTAAATAACTCATAATCATACACTATATCATAATTTCAAATATGTATCTACAGATAACAACTTTAAAAATATATATCTATACTCACATAACATAACATGAGTATTCATTATTAGTATAAATTATTTTCAAAACCAAAATAAATAAATGTAAGCTACAAATAATTATTAAATATTTCTTTTTTCATCACATAATATGAGCTACATATACTAGTACATTATGAATTATCTTTGTCACAGTAAAATCTTATCTATTTAAATTATCAAGGTAAACTCCCTGCTCATCAGTCATTTATATAAGTGTTCTTTCCACCTAGTAAATTTAGAATTAAAATTTAACAACATACTGAAATACTTGAAATGTTGCTATATATTTCAAGTGATTTTTATAATAGTTTTAGGTACAACTTTCCATATGAACTTTTAGATTTGAATATAAAATGTTAACATATGTTTTGTAAACTAAATTTTTGCATAGGTTGAATTGAAAAATTAAACCGTTGCCCCACGTTTTCTGCACCTTCGCATGTACTGACTAATTCGTTATGAAAGTGACTAGTTGATTGAATGATATATGGCATAAGATTGATAAATGATAACTCGTGCTTCTGACCTTGCAAACGGAGTCTGTTCCACGTGATAAGTATCTGTGATGGGCTCCGACCTCATGATGTTGCGAAGCTTCTCTTCTGACAGCTCCAACAGTCCATCGCTAGCCGTTTTGAAGTCAGCTTTACTTATACCACTCAAAACACTCATTTTGAACGTGTAGACGACTGACGAACGGAAACTTGAAATGTCACCAACTAACACTATCCTATAGTCCTTATTACAAACGAATACACTTATACGTTACAAAGGCATCAATTAGGCCATAAGAAACATTTTAAATGCCTCCGGTTTTTCAAAAGGTAACTGAATGCTCTCCCTTGTCATTGCGAGAAGCGGTTACAGTGTGAAGGCTCGAGCTGTAAGTAAATCAACACGTTTAAACAAACATTTGCATCACTTCATATTTGTTAAGAAATAAAACAAACTGTTTATTTACACACGCGTTTCGAGAAAACTTTAAATTAAATTACAAACGCGGCAAGACAGCTGCGCATCGACGAGTCGATCGCACTTCGCCGTACACGTTTCTGGCTTCTGCCAAGAAAGCAAGTCGCAAACTCCTGTTTCCTAGCGACCGCAAATGTTGCCACCTACTGCTAAGAAAACGCATTAAATATAATAAAATCAATGTACTTTAGTGAACTATTTTTAGTATTAACGCATCCGTACGTGAAGTGTTTTGGACAGAAGTTGGGAAGATACTTTGGAATAAATTAAATATTAATAAATTTAATGTTTTCTACTAATTACACAAGCCTCCTAGGATAGTGATCAGCTGGATAATTTGATTGCAATATTGTTATTAAATTTAAATAACTATACCAATTTAAAATACCATAAATTCAAATATCAATTTTTATTTAATAAATAAAAATATGTACATATATTGAATGGCAAACTGAGTTTATACTTAAATAATTACCCTGAATTCATATCGAGTTTAACCGTTGGCAACATCACCGGTTTCAAGCGAGTCTCTAGTCGTTCCATTCGAAATTATGTCTTAGGAGTCCGCTTATATTTGTCTAGATGGCGCTTTTCACCGCACATAATTTCATGTAGAACAAAGTAATCAGTAGTTACATATATTTAAAAATAAATCCTTAGTCAGGGCACCACGCGTTCCTGTTCCTGAATAAAACTCAGGATATCGATAGCCATAATAAAGTTTTATTATCCCTAGTCAGTTACCTAACAAACTTTACTGTAGCGACACCTAGAAACCAATTGTGTACAAAATAAAATCTCAATTGATGGCGCGTATTTGTTAATTAATATTTAATAAGTACCTTTCAGAAACAGTTTTTAAGCGGCAATTGACGATTGAAGTTAGTTTATGTACCATTGGTCATCAACAGCTACTAACATGGTTACTTAACAATGGATAACGGACGTGACTCCAGTCACATCCTGCCAAGCCAAGCCAAAGCCATAGCCAATGCCATAGCCAATGCCATAGCCAATGCCAAAGCCAAGCCATGCCATGTTGACCAACCCTCCAGCCAACCGCCATGCCTGCCAACCGTAAATGCCGCCACTTGGAGGGGATGAGTCTATATAAACCAAAGCCAGCCATATTAAAACTTTCTTTTTGGAAGACGTAACAAATAAAGAACAAGTGTGTGTCACTCCATTTTATTTTCACTGTCAATTATAATAAATTAAAATACAATTATCAACAAAAGAATAGGTCAATTATACTCAGAAGTGGGATAAAACGACCTCGACCACAAGTTTTTCGACCTTCTGACGAATCAATGTCGGAGGAAGATCCTTCACCGGCCACCGCCGGCACTGAAGCTGCTCAAGAATCTGCTAATAAAAAGAAGTAATAAAGGCTCTACGCGATCTTCAAAATGACTGTGTTGATGAAGCTCCAAATAAGTCACAAGTACATCGTGCTGTTTTTGACTCCGGAATTCGACCTTGACATTGGGAATATCGATAAACTACGAGGTCAAGCGAGAAGAGGTACAAGCGCCTGTAGGACTACGATTATACGTGGGGCAATGGAAAAGTATCTCTAGCATCAAGATGGCCGACGTTAATCTTTTCATCGGTCAACCTATCAACAGCGAAGTCAACAAAGACAACTTCCATCTGGCTCTTCTTTCCATCAAGTGCGGTTCTGGAGAATAAGGTCGGCAACGTGTGATAACGCCACCTCGACACTCGAGTGTGGTGGTCTATTCTTATCCCTCTACCCTGCTCCGTGGCGAAGATGGTTACATCAAAGTCGTCAACACCGGGTGCGAGGTTATCGTGTGTCGCAGAAGAGGTCCTAACAAAGGCTGAAAGCTGCCAGGAATCTCCGTTACAGCCGTATAGTCACTAGTCGGGTAATTTCCTTTGCTGCTTGCCATCTTTTGCCAATTATAATGCCATAATATAGGTGAACCCGTAACTACTGATTTATGACTGACGGTGTAAATTGGGAATAGCTGGTATCTTCTATAAAAGCAGACTGCGGTACGTTGCGCCCCGTTATATATTTTAGTAGAGCATGTTCATAGTTTGAGTTTGAGACTCTGGCAGTCGGTGGAATCTTTGCGTCGTTTTCGCGTATACATTGTCGGGAAAAAGGTTAAGATTGTGCAGCAGTCCGGTACGCTTACTAAACGCGACATTATACCACATATCGCGAAGGTGGTGGCTTTCTAAACAAGATTACGATATAAGTGTCGAGTATAGGCCGGGAGAACATATGAAACATGTAGATGCGCTTAGTAGACTCCGGTTGATGCTATGAACATGAATCGTCTAGAAGTGGCGGATTAGTTTTATACGGTGCAATGTCAGGACGATAGTTGAGCGCAATCGTTAGTCAATTAAAAGATAATACCGGCGGATTAAAATAATTTCGAAATTATTGATGATAGGCTCTATCGTAAAACCTTGAACGACAATAGGTTTAACTATTCGAGTACTACGAAGAATATTTCGTTTATTTTCCTTCTCTGTCACACCGTCACGGAAAGGCGTTCACGAGTAACTTTAAGAAGTTTTCGAACGATAAACAATTAAGACATCTCTGCTTGTCCGCATTCTTCGGTCAAGTGGAACGTACAAATAAGATAATACTGGATGCATTACGAGCCACAGACCCCAGTGAAGCCTTTGCAATTGGGCTAACTCTTTGCCCGACATAATTTGGTGAATTAACAACACAATTGATAACCACCATTTACAAACCTTACGATTTGATGTTTGCTCGGGCCGGTAGATCAGTATGTGATGTTGCGGTTCCCGGTCGTGTTTCTGAACCAGTAGAGTCGCGTCGAAAGAAAGCATCTGATAGGATACTAAAGCGAGTACTACAATGAAACGTTACTTGACAAAAAAACGAAAATCTGCTCCTCTTAAGCAGGGTGTTTTGTCCTAGGTGCGACAAACACCGACTTGTAGCGCATCCAAAGTTAACACTAAACTTGCGACTTGTTTCCGGTCCTTATGTTATTGTTTGTTATACTAAGGTAGTGGGCAATGATGGTACCAAATGAGAGTACACCTAAAGGGTTTACGTGGATATAAGAGTTTTACTGGATTACTATCTGCCGATTCGTTAAGACCCTATAAAAGCATTAATACTGTTCTGTAGTGCCAGCGTTCAGATGGCACTTGAAACCGAAGATCTGTTGTTTATTAGAGGGCTAATTGTAGATGTTGTTTCCACGGGAACAACTGTTTCAGGATGGCCGGTGTCGGACGTGACGTCGCCAGTCACTCCTGCCAAGCCAAGCCAAAGCCATAGCCAATGCCATAGCCAATGCCATAGCCAATGCCAAAGCCAAGCCATGCCATGTTGACCAACCCTCCAGCCAACCGCCATGCCTGCCACCGTAAATGCCGCCCTTGGAGGGGTGAGTCTATATAAACCAAAGCCAGCCATATTAAACTTTCTTTTTGGAAGACGTAACAAATAAGAACAAGTGTGCTGTCTGCCATTTTATTTTCACTGTCAATTATAATAAATTAAAATACAATTATCAACAAAAGAATGGTTACTTAACAATGGATAACATTTATTAGTGTAAAATAATAATTATTTGACCTATTCCAGTTTATTAATAACTAGCGACCCGCCCCGGCTTCGCACGAATGCAATGCTGATACTAAATTCAAAGTGCTATAGGGTTTAGGGAGAACCGCGGCCTCCGACGAGCTGCGTCCCGCAATTTTTAAATTTGTAATATCTTCGAAAATATTCATTTAAATCATATGCTGTAAAGGGCCATACAGATCTATATTAAATTAACAATGTGTTTAAGGTATTTAATTGGAATGATTAATGCTGTATTGGTTAAAATCGCTTCGAAAATTAGCCATTATTTGTCGTAAAAAGTAAATGACAAAAAGATGTTATTGTGGGATATTCATAAGAGGTAGACATATGTCATCGCGAAGTTTTCTGTAGACCTTTTCCAATGTGTACAATACATTATTTTGATAAATCTCGTAGGGTTCGCAATGTAAGCGGAAAATGTAATTATTTACGATTTACGACATCACATTAGAAACCTCAAAAATAACAGTAATTCTCCATCCATATTTAATGGATGTTATAATACATATAATTCTTCCTCTTCAATCACTCTATCTATTAAAAATAAAACGCATCGAAATCCGTTGCGTAGTTTTAAAGATTTAAGCATAAATAATGACAGAGAAAGCGACTTTGTTTTATACTATGTAGTGATTATGCATTGTATTTTATATTAATTAAGCTTAATCAAATTTTAAGCCTCGAATTTCAAATAGAAAAACAACAATTGCTTTCAGTTTAATTCACTAGCTTGTGGAAAGTTTTCGTTTGCTGCACCAATAATCTGTTTTACATCATTTTCTGATAACCGTTCTTCACTCTCTTGGACAATCTGAAACATATGAGAATATATGGTTTTGGGTACTACTTGACTATTGAATCACCATCCAAAATATTATTAAGGTTTTTTATGTATAACATGTATATTTTAAGGAATACATATATTATTTATTTAAAGATAAAAAATATTACTGTTACATTTCTAAATAGTTAATGCAATTTAATTTATTTTATTAGTAAACTAATTAAAGAATGCAAAATTAAAAAAAATATTAATATGATATGTGGTTTACTAATATTTTAAATTTTTCTTACCAGTTGTATTTCAAGTTCTGTCCTAGGTGGTGTATTGATCATCATTAATTTTTCTAATTTGGTCAATTTAAATGACTTTATTGATTCTAAGAAATTCCTAATTTTTTCACTACTTTGATGTTGACATTCCGTGTCCTGTAAATATCTGACAGTCTGTAAAATAAATGTTTAGTACAAATCAAAACATTGATATACATTTAAACAAAAAATAAATTGTTTTAATATATTTCAAGTCACATTTTTGGCCAGTCTAGCAGTATATAATATATTAATTTTTATTAATATCAAGTAAAATTGGAATCCTTTCTGTAATTTTATTTCATTTAATTAGATTTGTTGAAGAAATCTAAGATAGATTCTCAGGGACACAATAATTTCTTGGGTTTGGGATACCTATAATATACCTATACGGTATCTACTACATAAAATACTAAATCACCAACAAGGATTTTATTATGGCATTAAAATTGACTACAAATTTTTGGACTATTTTAACTGGTTTAATCACAAGGAGAACAAACCTATATCCTACTTAAGGAACCACACCATATTAAGGTATTTCTTATGTCTAGATAAGTATTAATCTGGTATTATTAAGCAGATTAATCAAATGTATGTTATATTACAGTAAAATGTACTATTTAGTACTAAAACAAAAAATATTACCTCATATGTAACAGTTGCTAGAGATGCTTCTCTTTTGTGCTTTTTTTGAGTATTATCTTTTAATTGCTGCAAAATTTGCATAACTTCAAAATTTGATAGAAATGCGGTATTTGCATTTATTCTGGAATAAGCATGTAACCATTAATACTTTAAGCTTAAGTAGCATAAACAGAGGTAAATCTTAAATTTAGTAAGACTAATAAATAGAGTTATTAATATTGGGTATGCTATTAAACTTATGTTTTTTATAGACAGATTTTATAAGGTAAACTTACATTTCCATTATGACTGAAACAAGCAGATTTATTTTAATTATCAATGTTTTCGTCTTGTGTCCTTTCTGCAAATAAAACTAAAAACAAAATATAAAAACAAAGCTACTAAATAATAAGTAGTTTTAATTAATAATAACCTTTTTAATAATTTCCAATTTTTGAACGCGTATGATTTAGAATATATTTATTGACCTATCATACGATTTCGAAGTAGGATTAAATTTTATTAGATATCAGAAAATAGAAATCAGGGTAACTGACATTTTAAATGAATTATTATTACTTTTTTATATATAATTAATTCGCCCTTAGGACAGACTAAAGTAATAAGCCATACCACCACGTCTTATCTATTACTTCTTCATACCCTTAACCCTACGTAATTTTTTACAGTTTTACTAGGTACTTCTTTATCACGAAAAATAGGAATGCTTGACAGAATTAATTCATAATTCATAAAATACAATTTTAATATGCTAGAAAATAGAAATTGACATTTGTCACACGACGTCTTCTTATATGTAAATACTCTATAGCTAAATGTCACAGACCATAAAATTTTTCACAGGAGCACGAAGATATGTATAGATATACTACATGCTAGGATGTATTATGCTTAAGTTGAGAATCTATTTATTTCTAATATCTCTCTAGTATATTTAAAAAGAGATAGACTTTATCATTAGGGATTAGGGAATAAGGACAAATTTAACTAAGTATTTACTGAGCATATTTTATTTGTGGAAGGTTTTATAATATATTTTTTTAATGTAGTTTTAAAAACAGGTACGTACAGGATTATAAAAACCTTCACGAAATATTGAAAATCTTTGCAGTTGAAGATTATATTTAGAACCTATAAAATGTTGCAAAAAAAAATAGTATAATGTAGTTCCAATAGTGATAACTTTTAACTTAACAATGGTGTCCCACCTCATGGAAATCCTTATCTAAATCATCATATTTGAAAAGGAGTCGTAAATAAACCTTTATTTTTGTGAATGACTATACTTAGTCAAAGTTATTCAAAATTTGATATTAAGTATATTTTCTATATACATGTAAAAGCCGATGCTAAGGCCATTGAGATAATGATTAAAAGTTCCATACTAGTTTTTATTATTCTGTGAATTTAAAACCTACTAGATTTTTAATATTGTTGTAAAAACAAATTATTTCATTTATTTCGACCACGTCTGTATTAAAATGTTGAAATTATACAGTGCTGGAATTAAAATTTTAAATTTTCAAAAAAAGGGAGATATTATTTTTCGTCAAAGAACAACTGCGCCATTGGATGCGTACTTTAATCATTATATATCTTTACCTTTACCAAAGGATAAAATATTAGCAACTTATGTATGGATTGATGGAAGTGGCATAACAATGCGCTCTAAGGATAGAGTATTAGAAAAACTGCCTTGCGAACTTTCTTCAGTGCCAAAGTGGTCTTTCGACGGCAGTTCTACAGGACAAGCTAAAACTAAAGATTCAGACACAGTATTGATACCATCTGCAGTGTATCGTGATCCATTTCGTATGGATCCTCACGTAATAGTACTATGTGAGACGTATTATGGAGACGGTACACCGACCGCTACAAATCACAGAGCTAATTGTGCAAAGATACTAAGTAAAATATCAAACCTAGAACCTTGGTTTGGTATAGAACAGGAGTATACAATGTTCGATTTTGATATGTGGCCCATAGGTTGGCCTAAATGCAGAGGCTATCCCACAACGAAATCTCTTTTTTCTTACTGTGGCGTTGGAGAGCATGTTGCTGGGAGAGAAATCGCGGAGTGCCATGCAAGAGCTTGCATTTATGCTGGTTTGGATTATGCGGGATCGAATGCTGAAGTGATGAAAGGTTCATGGGAGTATCAAGTAGGCACAACTTTAGGAATTAAAGCTGCTGATGATTTATGGCTTGGACGATATATCTTAAATAGAATAGCAGAGCATTTTGGAGTCATTATCAGTTATCATCCAAAACCAATGGGGAAAGACCAGCCAGGTATTGGATGCCATCATAATTTTAGCGTAAAAACAATGCGCAGTGATGGAGGGTTAACGGAAATTGAAAAAGTGTGTAATATTTTATGTGAACGACACACTAAGCTCATTAAGAATTATGGTCTCATGGATGGGGAAGAAAACAAAAAAAGACTAACCGGTAAATTTGAAACTGCAGCATACGATTCATGTAGATGGGCTGTCGCAGATCGTGGAGCATCTGTCAGATTACAAAGAAACGTTGCAGCAAATAAAAAAGGATTTCTCGAAGATAGACGACCTGCTGGTGATTGTGACCCATATAGAATATGCGCTCTCCTTGGAGAAATATACGTAGAATAGCTTTAAAAAAGTTTAAATAATATTCTAATATTCTGGCTGGTCAATACAATTGAAAAATTCAAACCTTTTCGAAAATAGAATATACCATTTAAAAAATTATTAGACATAACTAAAATTTTTAGAACAGTCTTAACAAAAATTTTCTGTACAAATTTAAGTTATACAAAATTTAATATTTCTAATATTACAAATATTACAACAAAAAATAAAGATTATTATGGAATCTTTGATTCAATGCATCACACGGAGCCCTATCTTACAAAGTTTCAAAAATGTCCGTGTATCTTCAAATCGACATATGCTCAAGCAGTCTATAAATCATATTATGAGCAAGAAAGTAATGGACAGGTATATGCGGCTTCCAATGCCATGTAATAAAGTTCTCGCCACTTATTGCTGGATAGATGGATCAGGTATTAATATGAGATGCAAGGATAGGATTCTATCTTGTACTCCATATAGTGCCGATGCCGCACCAGGCTGGGCTTTTGATGGCAGCTCTACTGGACAAGCAACAACTGCAAACTCCGATACTAACCTGAAAGCGTGTGCTGTCTATCGCGATCCATTTCGATTGGAGCCTCATGTTCTTGTATTAGCGGAAGTATATATGGGTGACGGTTCAGCAGCTAAAACTAACCATAGAAAGTTTTGTAATGACCTCTGTGAATATCACAAAGCTGAAGAGCCATGGTTTGGTTTGGAACAGGAGTATACAATGTTGGATGTCGATGGATGGGGTTTGGGCTGGCCAAAAGGCGGTGGTTTTCCAGCAGTTAATTATGAGTTTTCCTATTGTGGAATCGGTGCAAAGTATATTGCAGGTAGGGATATATGTGAAGCCCACACTAAAGCTTGTCTTTATGCAGGATGTGATTTTGAAGGGACTAACGCAGAAGTAATGTTTGCATGCTGGGAGTGGCAGATAGGAACTACAATTGGGATAAAAGCTCCTGATGATATGTGGATGTCCCGTTACATAATGTCTAGAATATCTGAAGATTATGGAGTTGTAGTAACTTATCATCCAAAGCCAATGGGGCCAAAACATCCTGGTGTCGGCATGCATCACAACTTTAGTACAAAAAGAATGAGGAATGACGGGGGCTATGCTTTTATTGAGGAATGTATTAAAAGGCTAGAAAAAAATCATATGAAGCACATGAAGAATTATCAACACGATGAACAAACTAATAGAATGCGTCTGTCCGGCAAATTTGAAACTGCACCCTTCGATAAATTTTCTTGGGGAATAGCAAATAGAAAAGCTTCTATTCGATTGGGAAGAAATATTAAAGAAAAGGGTAAAGGGTTTATGGAAGATAGAAGACCAGCCGGTGATTGCGATCCCTATTTAGTATGCGGTTTACTGATGGATACATGCTTAGGATCTGTTGGAAGTGGAGGCGGCGGCAAAAAAGGATGTTGTAAGTGAAGTTTCTATGTAAAGTTTAAAATTCAATAGTATAGTTTTTATTGATTGTCAAGAAACATTAATATTTTTTATATTTAAATTAATACAATGTAATATTTTCCGTTGTAATAAAATATTATATATACATATTGGTTGCACGTTTATATTCTCATTAATTCTATTCTCAACAAGTCAATAATAATCAATAAATCTAATCGGATGTAACGCAGCAAAAACTTTAAGTTTCTATGAAATTGTTTCAACTATTAAAGATAAAATACCGGTAGATGGACTGTTTACATAATATAGTCAATGCGATTATGTAAAGTTATCAAACTTTAAAAAAATATCTTGATTTGTCCGCTACACAGGAGAGCTACGGAAAAGTCATCTTTAATAGTATATATGGTATGTATGGTAAACAACCACATATATTGAATATTCAGTAAAGACGTTACGTAGTCCACGTTTAACGAATGTATATATTATATAAGTTTATAATATCGCCTCCCTTTGGCGAATAACCGTATTTAAAAATGGTCTCTGCCGTCTCGGTTTTTCTATTATTATTCTAAAATATGAACCTTTATAATCTGTCATTGTATGCTTGACTGAGATTGTCTATGTATGTACATAAGTATTGCCATTTGTTAGCGTTTTTATTTTTGTAGAAAGGCCGAATCTACTTTAAAGTCGCAGTCTCAGAGATGTGAGTTTATTACTCATTTTAGATTTTAACCAAAACTGAACTTTTAGTTTTAGATTTTAATAAAATAAAAAAGGAGCTTAAATTGCTTCGTTTCTTCATCTTCTATACGAGTATATAATTTCATACGAATTTAGGGAAAACTTAAGAGATACTATAACAAGAGCGTATCAATCATTTTATAATTCTATTATGCGTCTACTATCGTTCCTCTTAAACTTTACAAAATTGTATATTGTTTACCTGTGTATATTAAATTGGCAAATCAATAAAGTCCATTATATTTTGTTGGTAAAATTTAGGCTAACTAGGCAATTATAGTGGACTGTCGTGGGAAATCACTTGCTTCTGCAGCTGTAAAAATAAACTGATTGTCAGTCGCATTTCCACATAAAAAAGCCGTAAGAAATTAAGGTCGTGTACTTTGTATTGCATATTATCAAGATGCATTAAATTTATTCAGACTGGACCAAACAAATATTATATATTTAGGCAAATAAACTATTTAATTTTACCACCGTAAAATATTATGTGGGCTGGAAGCATTGCATAATCTATGAATGAAGGAATTAATTTTTTTTAAACTGGCAACATCTGAATCGCGGCCATTTTCATTCTTTTCTCTATTCCTGCCGTCATATGGCGTACAGTGTGTTAGTTTGTCCGCCATATTAATAAATCAATAAACAGCAAAATGCCGTCTTTCTAAGTGTGTTAAATTAATCCAACCACATCCAGTTTTTGTGTAGATAAAATATCTACTCCATCACAATGGAGAATTCCTACGGTGTGGGTATTGTGAATAGATATGCTCTTTTCTTGGACGATGAGTCCGATCCTTTGGATGCGTTAAAAGCGCGAGAGCAAGCAAAAGAGCAAAAAAAGAAGACCAAAGAGGCCGAAAAAGAAAATAAGGGCAAACCTGAGGCCAAACCTAAGATCGGCAATGTCGTTGTGAGAAAAGGTATTAAGGAAACTCAAAATGTGAAGTCTCAGGAAAATAAGAGTGGTGATCAACAAAAAAACAAGGGGCCGGCGCGGAGCAACGACCGCAATGCGGAACGTCCGCCGCCTCGTCGCCGCGAAGATCGTCCTCAGAACGGGGCCGTAGAGGGCAAAGAAGGAGCTAGGCCTCCTCGTCGTGAGTTTGGAGACCGCAAACCCAACTTTGAGCGACGCAATTACAATGACAACTCTGAAGGAGGTGAGCGTCGTGGTCCGAGGCCTCCTCGTGAGCCCCGCGAAGGACAGCGCGGCCCTAGGCCTGGTTTTGACAACAGGGGAAAACGTGAGTTCGATAGGCGGTCGGGTTCCGACAAAACGGGAGTTAAGCCGGTCGACAAGCGTGAAGGAGGGGGCCCTCATAACTGGGGCACTCTCAAAGACGACTTGGAGGAGGAGTTGAACAAAACTGGATCCGACGGCGATGTCGGGGAAGAGAAGCCCGCGGAGGCCCCGGCCGTAGGTGCTGGGGATGGGCAGCAGCCCGAGCCGGAGCGCACGGTGCCTACCGAGGAAGAGCCTCGTGAGCTGACGCTGGATGAGTACAAGGCGCTGCGAAACGCTCAACGCACCGCGCCTCAGTACAACTTACGCAAGGCCGGCGAGGGCGAGGATCTGAGCCAATGGAAGAACTTGGTGATGCTGGAGAAAAAGAAGGAAGGAGGCGAGGACGATGATAGCGATGAGGAGTACGACATTTCTGATTATCCGCAGCGCGTGGGTCGTCAGAAGCGGCTGCTGGGCATCGAGTTCACGTTCAGCGACGGCACGCGGCGTGGCGCCCCAGGTGGTCGCGGCCGCGGTCGGGGCGGACGCGGTAGAGGCGGGCGCGGGCCGCCACGCGATGAGGTCCCTGTTGAGGAGCCCCGGCCCACTGCGCGTTCGCAGGTGACTCCTCCGAAGGTCGATGACAGCAAGGATTTCCCCTCTCTCAGCTAGACTACTAACAGTGAGCCTTTACTCCCCTTACTCAGAATACATAGAGATACAAATTACTGTACTGTTATTTTTTTGAAGTAAATATACAAAATATTTACAATGTGTATTATATTACATTGAATTTTAGCCTTAGTGTTGACAATGAACCTTTGCTAAGATTCGAGAGAGTAAATTTTAGTGATGGGAATTGACTAAGCGCACTTGGGCAGTGATGAGGGGGAGGTTGTTTCTGTTTTAAAAGATCGCAACAGTAATGCATTATGATTCATAAAGTATAACAGTAGCTTTTTATTGTAATCGCATCAGCTTATGTTTTTAACTTTTTAATAAGTTGTATGAATAAGATTTTAAACTCTTGACTGAGACATGCTATATTGAATTAACTCCGTCACAACTTAGATTAGAGTATTTGTGAAAATAACCCTTGTTGCATTTTGTCGTGAGTTTGTGTTGGCAAAATAATGCAAACTTAATCTGTAAATAGTCTTAAAATTTATAAAAGATAAGGTCTTTAAATAACAAGGTTGATTTTTGTTGTTACACAAACTTCTTTGAAAAATAAACATTTTGTAAGTGTGAAATATTGAATTTTCTTTACTCTTTTCACAATCAAATAACATACTCATGAACCTTCCTCCCCCTACTATAAAGCATTTGTATGATATCCATATCAGCTTTTAGACAAACTGCCTTATTGGTGATCTTACTAGTATTAATCTGCTTGGTTTATGAAGTTTTCACATTGATAGACTATGGTCTATTATTTTGTACTATTTTTTCTTTTTTGATATAAACTAGTTTTTGCCTTTGATTCCGAAACTCATTTTAACTGGATCACTTTGTATATTTAGCTGTAGTGCTGAAAGTACAGCTACTTTAACCAGTTAACAAAGTACATGACTTTGGTTTAGGATTAAATAAAAGTATTGATGTAATTAATATAGTAGGTATATTGACACATTTTATCACTTTCACACAAAAACAAGTTACATAGAATTTTTTACATAAAACAATACTCAAGGTAGTTTAAATATTTAACATATATAACTTACTGAAACATACCTACACCTGTGTATCATTCATACAAGCACAATAAATAATATATTTACATTAAATTAAAGTTTCATAATAAGGTTCTCAGGAAATGCTATTTTTTATTCACATTTACCATTACCAAAGAGAAATTCTGTATTCTGTACATTTTATAAATAAATGAGGAACATCAATATTAGCGATCATCACAACATCCACATATTCTCATTATTTATCTAATACAATATAAATTAAGAATATCTACAGGGAAAGCAATACTATATTTGTTGCCAATTTTTTATACTTTTTATATTTAGTTGACTAGGAAATGGATGTTATTTAAAGAATCTATAGCTTCTCTGTCTTAGCCGATAAAGAGTTTAATTATCCCTTAGTATTCACGTTAACATAACTCTTAAGAATAATTAAAGTATTATTTTGGTAGAATAATGTTGAGTAATGCTGATAAATAATTTTTGATCATGTTATAAATTAGTGACATAAAGCATACCTAAAAACTAATCTTGGCCCTGGGGCCTTTTTCACAGCCACAATAAAATTATTATCTTACAAATAAAAGCAGTAAAGTACAAACCTTGACAGATAAGTGGCCTTTATATTGATATAGGGTTTTATATGACAGTTATATATAGACATTGAGTGCATTAACACTATATCGGCCTTACTATCATTTATCATACATAATTATAAGGGCACAATATAAGACTTGTTAAGCCAGTTGCCTACACAATAATATTTTGACATTTATTCAATTCCAAAAGTATTTGTTTCCTCAACAGCTAAAAGTAATTTTTCATGTAATAACTGGGGTGTTGGGTATGGAGGCAGATCTAGGCGGTTGAAGCAGGTGTGAGCTCTTGGCAACGACTCTACTCGTCCCCACCGCTCAATACAGAACTTTCGGGGCCCAATAGATCCTTGCAAGGCAGAGAATCCTTCGTAAGGTATTGATGAAGTTCCAGTGACAAATTGTACAAGACGTAGACGTTGTTCATTTGAAAATCTGTAAAAAAGCATAGATATTAATTTAATAATATTTCATGGACATAACATTACATAACCTATATATAATTTAATAATTGTTTTATTTTTAACTAAACTATTATAGTAACATACATATACACACTAAAATAACATAGTTGTTATATTATAATAAATTTGAACGGCATATTCAAAATGAATATGCCGATATTTAAAAAAAATATTTAAAAAAAAATCTTAATCAGAATATGGTGGATGCAATGAACACATGGTTTTACAACTATCTTATCACTAACCACAATGGCCGTCATAGATGACCCAACAAAATTGAAGGCCTTGATATAAGGTAACTAGTAATTAAAATATGTTTTTGAAATAAATGACTTACAATTAATTTACAACCAAATTTTTCATTATATCTATTGTTATTGATTTTCTAATTAAAATACTCTTTATTAATAAATAGCCAAATAACAGATGAATCTAATAGTAAAGAGATTAAGGATGCCTATTAAATAAATGTAATATTTGACCTAATCCTTTTGTACAATAATATTGTAAAATAGTTTCATTTTCTTTATAGACAGGTATATCTGGTTATATATATTCGCGACCTTGACAAGCTAGGTTTAACTTAATTAACATAAATTTTAAAACTCGTTAATGTAGTACAAATCCATATTAATATTGTGAGTTTTTTTCTGGTTTTGAATGGTTATTATAGAATTAGCTTAGTTCTTCAGCATAAAAAAAAATATTTTGTCTCGTGCACTTTTAGAAAACTACCTGTAAGGCTGAACCTGTAGAACCTACCCGGAAATACTTGCATTAATTGTTTTTGGTTGTTCTATTTGATGGCGTATGTATTGGTTTACACACATCAATTAAATTATTTCAAAGATGCAGCGATAGGGTTGTTTCAGGTCGGTTCTACTTCGACGGCCTGATACTTATAGCAATAGTTACAAAGAATATAAATAATAAGAGCTTTGACATTAAACAATGTAGATCCGTGTAAAAAAATCTTACAGCGGCCCCTGGCGGTAACGAGCAACACTAAGATTTTTCATGCACTTGTATAGCATAAAATACTCTTAAGGACCTATCTGGTCGCCAACCTCCAAAAAAGTACATTGTTTCTTTCCATTTTTTCGTCATTGTTTCTTGTAGTATAACTTCGCTCGATAGAAAAAAAAATTATGATGAAAATGTATATAGAACATGATTTTGAAATTTACACGATATATTTTAAGCTAGGCAAGTTATCCATTTCAGAAGAAAATAATTGATAAAATTACATTAATTTAATGTTTTACATAACTAATTGTTATTGAGCACTGATGCCGGCGCGCCTCAGTGCTCCAGCTCTCCACTGCGCCTTG